AAACCTACCCAGCAATTACAAGAATAAATCAGTATTGTTCTGTGTTGAATGCATTCATGAACACTTGGTGGGTGCTGAATCCACCCTTGAATTAAATGACTTGGAGCCTTAAATCTCAAGGCATGGGATATGATGAGGTGGAAGTCGTACCTTGAAAGAGCTCTGACGTGGATTGGATTAGTTCAGATTTAGTTGCACGTGACTCCATAAAAGCACCCACAGCCAGGCAGTGTAGCCCTGGGTTTCTTTCCTCTGCCTTCTCAACCCTCCCCTTCTCATGCTTTATTTGAAGCATTAGAAATAATTTGATTTAAATTAAGAATAGGTATTTGCTCTTCTGGTTAGGATTACAGGGTAAGAACATTAAATTGAAAATGCTGGGGGCAAGGCTGGATCTTGTTACGCATTCATGATCCCTTGCTGTTAAGTTTTGAATGTTGTGATAAAAATAACGCATCTTAATTTCTCAGTGATATTTGTCTTGTGTTTTCCCCCAGCTGTTTCCTCTGCAATACCAATTCAGTGTTTCCTTTCCCTTATGCTTTATTTAGGTTATTTTTAATAATTTTCTCTATGGTTTCTTTGCTGATTGGTAAACCGACGTGTAGATGAGCTGCTTCTCAAAAACATTTTCCACTTGCATCTCAGATTTTTTTTTTTTCCCCTGCATCTAATTTGCTCTCTTCAATGGAATTTTTTCAAGGTCATTGTGCTTACATTTGCTGGGAAAACAAGTAGCTGAATAATTTTATTTAATTCAAGGCTCTGTGGAAATGCAATGTATTTACCAAATTTCCAGAAATGTTCTCTTTTTTCTTTTGCTTACCTAAATCCACTATTTTCTTTGAAAGCAATGCTTTGTTAATATTGAGTCACTTCAAAACTTTTTTTTTTTAGGTGCCATAAAACGCAAGGTGGAATTAGAGCGGGGTACAGAGGACACAGAATATCTTCAGAAGGTGCATACTCACGTGGAAGGAGCATCGAATGAATTAAAACCTGACATCATTGCTTATGATGCTGGGACTGATATTCTGGATGGTGATCCGTTGGGAGGACTTGCTATTTCGCCTCAGGTTCGTGTCACACTAAAGTACCTACAGATTTCCCTCCTCACTAGGTAGCGAAAGCAATCCTGAGAGTGCCTTGTGGCTGTTTGTTAGGTGAGGGTAAGGTGCGTACTTTACACTAAAGCAGAGCATTTTCCTGGTGCAGATACGTATCGATCTCTGCTGCTCTTTCACCGTGGTTTTTTGTTGTCGTTTCCTGACTAAGTATTTTTGTTCTTCAGGTGCCTGTTCCAGTCTCATTTGTTGTCTTTCTAAAATATACTAATTTTGAATGTCCAGACAATAACCAGAGAGTCATATATTTCCCCTCTTCACCTCATTCCTATTTTTCCTGTTTGGTTGTTTCTTTCTTTGTTTTTTTACCCTCACGTGACCCATTTTGTGATGTATTTATTTTGTCACGTGCCCCCAGGAGGAATCTTACACTTAACTTCCTCTGTAGCACTCCCAGCTGTTAATTGTTCTAGCAATTTTGTGCAGCCTGCCTGTGTGTTCTTAGCAAATGAACAGATTCTTTTTCCTTTTCCTCATTCTTTTCTGTACAAATATCATTACCCTTTTTCAGTTCAGTTTACCTTCTCTCTCCCTCTTTTGGTACCAGATTTAAATTTGGTTTTATTCTGTATAGCTTCATAGAAGCCTTCACCTTCCAGGTATAAGGAGTCTGCTTTTCTCAAATAAAAATTTACAGATCTCTTATTTCCTCTGGGGTTTTTTTTAATGATTCCTTCTCTGACAGCTCCTTGGTTCTGTCTCTCTCCTGTTTTCACATTTGGTTCTCTTTTAGTGTCCACCAGGTCGATAGAAAAGTGCTTTCTTGATTTGTGAGCTCTTCGGAGCCAGCACTTGGTCTGTTCAGTTTTCATTCTGTTTTGTGGTACTTTAGTTCTCCAATCCTTCCTGTTGCACAGAGCTCTAGTTCCTTGCTGGGTTTTATTGGCTTCCTTCTGTTATTTCCTCATTCTTATGGTCTCCATCGCTGAGCAGCCACTTGGTTGCTTGGACTGCCTGCAAAGCCCTCCATGGGCCCAAGGTGGAAGGACTCGGGAGACACTCGGAATCTCCAGGTTTTGTTTCCGTGGCCGTGGAAAAGCCTCTAAGGAGGGAGGAAGAGCTGAGGGGCTTGGACTTGTTTGGTTTTTACCTTGGAGAGGATATGGCTTGGGGTGTAAGACCTCATGGGGTAGAGCAGACCTTTTTGGAAAGCAGCAGCCACCAGGAGAAATGGGAGCTGGTGATGGATGGAGAACACTTTAAGACGTGCCTTTTCAAATTTATTTTTCTGCCATTTGCGAAGGAGCAGTGTTAATAGCCCAGAAGGATGAGCTGCTGTAGCTTGTTGGGTGCTGTGCAGGGGAAAGAGATAAGATGTAGGGATGAGGAAAGAAAGGAGAAATGATTCTTCGGTCACAAGTAGAGGTGAAAGGCAGAGTGCCGTTTCTCTGTGCAACCAGTGGCTTAGATGCCTGATGGAGAAAAGTTTCTGTAGCTCAAGCCTTTGCTTTCTGAACTGAGGGCAGGGTTTCTCGTCTCTCTGATCTTGTTGGCTTGGTTATCAATGGCATGTTTCACCAATCGTGAAATCCCAGGCTGCCCAAAATGCTGGAACTGAAGGCATTGAACCTGGAACCTCTTGGAGGTTCATTACTCCAGTCCTACAGTTGTAGATGTCATTCGTATTTTCAAATCTTGCTACAGTGTGAATTCTGCTCAAAGTTCTGCCTCCTCAGAGTGCTGTGAGTGATGGCTTCTTGGGGCTTGAGTCTGTAGCCAGAAAAGTTGAGGTGGAGCAGGTAAGTCCCTCTTCTCTGTGTTTGTAAGCGGGAGCGCTGTCCGGATGTCACTTGGATTTGATGTATTTTCATTCTCGGTCATGCGAAATGCTGGAATAAGCCCACGTGTTTTCCCTCCAGTTCCTCAGCCGCTGGAGATGCTGGAGCAGGGATGAGGCGGTTAGGCTCCTACGAGTAGTGACTGCTCCCAGTTCTGGTGTGGTGCAATGTTTGCTGCGTCCAGCAGTGGTTCCCAAGAGACGTACATCTCACTCTGTGATTCTGTGACTTCCTTTCAGGATCTGTTCCTAAAATAATTCTTCAGTTTCCTTTGTCTTAGTTTTCAGTTGTTATTCCTTACTCCCGTTGCTCTTTTACAGAGCTGCGTCAAACTACACAAAGCCCCTTGCTATTGTATGGTTTTACAAAATATTTTTTTAGTTACGTTTGAATTTTATTCTTTCCCTCTACCATTTGTTTGTGGTTGGATCTTTTTTGATGGCAGGGTAATATTTCTTGATGTATTTACAGTCTTCCTCTAACCAGTCTGAGTAGTGCATGTTCATTTTGTTGTAACACTTCTCATGCTACTTCCTTAATTTTTTGTGTTTAATTGCATTTTAGTCCCTTTCCCCTTCTCCAGCTTTTGCAGTTATTTACATTTTGAGCTGTCCATTGTAAGCTGTTGTCTATTATGTTTTTAGTCTTTTTTTGAGGATTTGTAATTGATTATTTGTCTCCTGTGTATCTGTGGAACTGTCTGCTGTTACTTTTTCCATAAAAGTAGATTCTAATTCTGTTCTCACTTGTTTCTGAATTCTGTCTTTTTCCCCCACGTGTACTTGTTTGAAACTCAGGACACTCCAAGTCTTCTGTTTTATGGGTTCAATGACCATGCAGTACCTCTTGCATTCAGCAGTCTTTGTTATTTTTTAGTTCCATACCCATCTCTATTAGTAAGAGGTTATCTAGAATTTATTTTCCTTTCCATGGATTTCCCCTTACTTCCGTTCTGCAACCCCCCCTTCAGCCATACATCCTTTTAGTGTTAGCTTTTACTGAGGAAACTGGGAGCTTATCATTCAACTAGGGATTCTGAATGTGTAAAACCGCATTTGAATTTTTGGTTCTTCTGTAGGTTTGTGAAATCTTGATCAAGTTGCTAAACTTTTGTCAGAGGGTGCTAGGCAAGTTCAGACAATCTTTCTTAGTCTCAGTTCCTCATTTATACTAACGACTTTTATCTGTTGTGTTCTCTAAAACCAAGTCAAGGATTTTTGATTTGCTGTTTTTCCTTTTTTTTAATGATTCTGCATGTAAACCTGCTAGCGGGGCTTTTAAATGAATTTATTTGTATTGTACAATGTAGAGCTTCATCATGTATCAATCCTGTACTATAAATCCATAAATCGTAGGCTAGAACTGAAATATATTTGTATCACTTTGTGTAACGTTGTAAGCTTGCAGGGAATTGTGAAGAGAGATGAAATTGTCTTCAGGGCTGCCAGAAGCCGCAGAATCCCAATCCTGATGGTGACATCCGGAGGCTACCAGAGGAGGACAGCATGGATTATTGCCGATTCCATCCTCAACTTGCACAACCTGGGGCTCATTGACAGGGAGCTGGCAGCCAGTGGAGCTGGAAATCCCAAGGTAGAACAGATGATTCCAGACTCTGCGAAAGACTTAACCAACTTGTCACTGCAATGACAAGTTCCTAAATTTTAGGAAAGAACTTCCTGGTTTAGGAGCAGGAAGCCTCCACTTTGTTGTCAGGGTTCATATAACATATTTTAGAAAGACTCAACTCGCTTGTTGCAGTAACACAGGAGAGAGAACCTGCAGTCACAGAATAGCTGTCTGACTTCTGAAGCTATCGTCAGCAAAGGCAACAGAAAGGTAACTGAGACACATCCTCAAGGGTACTGCCTCTCAGTTTATAACTATTCCTGCAGACAGCTTTCATTGCTTCTCTTATTGTTGGGGGTGGTCTGTTGTGTTGAGAGAACGGTGCAGTTGGTATCCAAAGGCTGTCCCAGACCTAGTTCAGGTGATGTCGTTTAGACTGTGTGTCCTGAGGAGGAGAAATGTGGACTAAACCTACTGGCATTTTTTTTAGAGACTGCATTTTATTTATTGCTTTTTTGGTTGAAATATTGTTATAAAACGAGTTCTGTGCAGGCTTCAACTGGCACTTTAATACTGAAGTAAAGTGCAATGCTATAAAAAACAGTCTGGTTGGTAGGCTTGTAAGCCATAGCCTCTTAGAACAAAAGTTCATTAATTTATATTT